CCTATGACTATTATTAAGTGTGGAACCTTATGATTCTTGACTCTTGATGAATGTATCTTTTCTTTTTATGTACACTGAGAGCATTTGCACCAAGACAGATTCCTTGTGTGTCCAATCACACTTGGCCAATAAAGAATTCTATTGTATTCTAAAAAAAAAAATCTATTCTGTTATCCTGCAATGAACAGATACATGGAAGAATAATTTCTGCTTTATCAAAAGTTGAAAATTAGGTTGCATTCACACGGTGGACTTAGCCAACTCAGCTAAAAACGTAGACACCACAGTCCAGAACACGATAAACCTAGCTGGCATTACTCTTCGTTAGATTGTTCTGTTTTATTTTGTCTTAATGTGTGGTTCAAACCTGACCTCTTTGGTGCATCAGCTCTGGTTAACGCAGAGAGCAGATTGAAAGTGTTGTGCGACCTTGGCTTCTGACAGATTGATGCCAGACTTTTCTTTGCCGCTCTTGGAAACATAAAACAGCATCTGATCTCTGGCGGTCAGGATTCCGGCAGTTCCCCCCATTTAAATCATGAGTCTCAAGCCAAACTTCCAAAACTTCAAAAGGATTTATTGGAAGTTAACATGTCCAGCACTGCCTGGGTGTAGCTGACTCTGAGACACATAATTCATTGTCACCCTTGACCCTGGTTTTCCCCCACCCCCTGGGTGTATTGTAATTCATATTCTCCAATGGGACACTTCCATAGCCCAGAGTCATCAATCAGGCTCTCCAGTTAGAATTTTGCACAGCAGAAACTTCAGTCACCTAGTTACTATCTTTGAAAATTATTTATGGAATGCACTTTTGATTTCCAAGCTGCCGCACTGCTCCTCCTTCCCTTTCTGTTGGCAACTCTAAAAAGACCAGATAAATATGTTATGAGTTGTCACTGGGTTTTCTTCTCTTCCAGGTGCTGGATCACCTCCCCCATCTTGAACCACATCACCTTTGCTTATGTTGGTGGCACCGTATTCTTCAACCTGGTCATCTTGGTGATAGTGGTGCAGAAACTTAGGCAGCTCAGAGCTCACCCTCTTCATCGGCCTAAGAAACACACCTGCAAAGACGTGGGAACTGTTCTTGGGATGACCTTCCTCCTGGGGACCACCTGGATGTTGGTCTTCATGTCCTTTGGGGTCTTCTTAGTGCCACAGATCTTCCTCTTTACGATCTTCAATGCCCTCCAAGGTTTGTAAGATGGCTGAGACCCTACACTCCCCCACCTGGGAATGGGGCAACTTGCCATGGCCAACTTGTTGCAGCCAACTCATCATCATGCCCAACTCACTACAGCCAACTCATCATGGCCAACTAGCCATGGCCAACCCACTGCAGGCAACTCATCATGGCCAACTAGCCATGGCCAACTCACTGCAGACAACTCATCATGGCCAACCAGCTATGACCAACTCATCATGGCCAACTCGGTAAAGCCAATTCATCATGGCCAACTCACTACGGAACAACTCACTGAGGGACAATTTAACAAATCTATTTAATTATTTAAAATAATATAAAAAATAGTTTAATTTTGCCATTCACATTTCATTATGTCCCTTTTTCTGCATATTTTCTTTAATAATTTGATTCTACCATTTCTTTGGTATTAGTATAAGTCTTGTTCCATGGCAAGTTGTCCTTTGGCAAGTTGACTGCAGCGAGTTAGCCATGATGAGTTGGCCATGCAAGTTGGCTGCGGTGAGTTGGCCATGCAAGTTGGCTGCGGTGAGTTGACCACAGAGAGTTGGCCGTGGCAACTTGTCATAGACCCCCCCCCCACTCCACCCCAGTATATTGCAGTATGCAAATATTCTACTTCCTTTCTTTTTTCCTTTTCATGCAGGAGCCGTCATCTGTCTCTGGTATTGCTTTTTACGGTGTCATTCGGCATCCAAACACTCACCTGGATTCTCTCAGTCATCTGGTTTGTGAAGACCCTGGACCAACGAAAGTCTTGAGCATTGCACCCAGATTCAAAAAAATACATGCCTGCGTGAGAGACAGTACAACAGCGTGAATCCTGACTGCAGGATTTTCCTGTCTAAGGATTGGGATAAATAAATATCCGGGCAACACCGGGTTATCAGCTAGTTTATTTATTAAATCTATATGCCTCCCATCTCTCTGACAGCCCTCGCATCAACAGTGAGGCAGAATCAGGCTCAGGGCTTCTGTGTCTGTTCCCAACCACAGACTTAGAGGCCCAGTAAGTGTGAACTCAGCTGTCGTAGGATAAACGAGAAAGCAGATGAGAAATGCTACATTGCCTTATTTCCTTTTGCAATTGATATGCCAACCATTTGTACAAATTCAAAGTTTCTCTGCTTCGCGTAAATCATTTTTATTTCTATTTCTCTTATGGTTAACACACAAAACTGTTGCTATGAAAGGCTGACTTGTTGCAAAATATTTTCCTTCCCTGGAAATTTCTGTAATTCCTCTTCTTTCTTCTTTATCTCATCTAGAGTCACTTCTGTTTTCTCTTGCTTCTGCTTTTTATGTTTGCTGTTAGCTTGAATAAAAGGTCCTCTCGACAAAGCTCTACTCACATTATCTTAACATCAGTACCTTTACTGTGTTTATTTTATTATCTTTATTTTTAGTCTATTCTCAATAAATTTTCAGCTTTTTTTATAGTCCTCTTTATTGTTTTATTTTGTAAAATAATGTCTCATTCATCTCCCCTCTGAAGGAACGGATCTTCCTTTTAAACGTTAAAGTCGCCATACAGTATTACGATCTGAAAAAGCTTTGGGCAATATTTGCTTCATTGACATAGCTAAATTCGTAGCAATGCAGAATACAGAAATATGAGTTACAACCACAACTGACCCCATCAATAAAGCATCTCACCCTGTGACTGGACCCAATTTTACAACTGTTTCCATGGTGGTGGTTAAGGGAACATGACCGTTATTAAACAAACCCACCATTCACGATTCAGCAGGTTTTGCCAGAAATCGGAGGTAAATGCCACTTCCTGGAAAAACCATCAAAAACTGCCATCACATGACCATGGGGTGTGGCATGAATTTACATGCTGGTTGCCCCAAATGCAATTATGTGTCATGCCCCTGTCGGAATCTAATTCGGAGGGGAAGGCTGAGCAGCTGACAGGGACTGGGAGTGTGGCTGGTGAGTTGGCCATGATGAGTTGGCCATGATGATGAGTTGACTGTTCAGTTGCATCTCTGTTTCTTAGCCAAGGAAGTCAGCATAGTTGTGTATAAAGCCAGCATGACTATATATGCTGAGCACACAGAATGCTGTTCCTTCCCACTGAAATGGTACTTATTTATTGGCATTTGCTAGCAAAAGAGGTGGTATTCAGCAGTTCTGGAGAGCTGGTAGCGGAAATTTTGAGTAATTCAGAGAACCAGCAAATCCCACCTCTGACTGGCCCCGCCTCCATTTATTCTCTGCCTCCCATTGAGTCCCAGCTGATCAGCTGGGTCTCAGCTAGGTCTTCTGCACAGGAGAACGGAGCTGGAAAACAGGTTAGTGGGGTGGGGAGGGAAGGGAAGAGAGATTTTGCAATATCCTTTCCCTGCCACGCCCACCAAGCCACGCCCACAGAACCAGTAGTAAAAAAATTTAAATCCCACCACTGATTTGCATTCTTTTGAATTGCTAGGGGAGCAGGAGCTGGGTCAGAAATGGGAGCTCACCCCCACTGCGTGGTGCTAGAGTCTCAAACTGCCAACCTTCCCGTTGACAAGTCCACCAACATAACTGCTAGGCCACCACGCCCCCTATAAAGAAAGTACGGTATTAGCATCTATTGATAAAGCCACAGAAGCAACCGAATGGGAGAAAAGTACCACTAGATGGCGACAAAAGACTGGCCGAAAATGACTCGGAAACATCTGTTTCTCCCTGATACAAAATGTCATGAATATATCGAGCAACATTATTATTATTATTATTATTATTATTATTATTATTATTATTATTAT